TCATTCTCCCGTTGTACTCAGCCTTAGTGAGGCTGCAGCTGGAGTACTGCATCCAGTTTTGGGCTCCACAATTCAAAAAGGATGTGGAGAAGCTTGAGAGAGTCCAGAGAAGAGCCACGCGCATGATCAGAGGTCAGGGAAGCAGACCCTACGAAGGCAGGCTGAGAACCCTGGGGCTCTTTAGCCTGGAAAAGCGCAGGCTCAGGGGTGATCTGATGGCCACCTATAAGTTTATCAGGGGTGACCACCAGTATCTGGGGGAACGTTTGTTCACCAGAGCGCCCCAAGGGATGACGACTAGGTCGAATGGTCATAAACTACTACAAGACCGTTTCAGGCTGGACATAAGGAAGAATTTCTTTACTGTCCGAGCCCCCAAGGTCTGGAACAGCCTGCCACCGGATGTGGTTCAAGCGCCTACATTGAACACCTTCAAGAGCAAACTGGATGCTCATCTTGCTGGGATCCTATGACCCCAGCTGACTTCCTGCCCTTTGGGCAGGGGGCTGGACTCGATGATCTTCCGAGGTTCCTTCCAGCCCTAATGTCTATGAAATCTATGAAAATATGGCCACAGCTGGTACACAGCTGGCACTGGCCAGATCAGGTGTGCAGGATCACACCCATGGATCAACCCCACACACCAACCCCGTGCAGGATCTTGGGGGCCAGAAGGTTGGGTATCACTGCTCTAGGCCTATATAGAATGAAAACAGCACCACTTAGCCTTACTTGTAAAATGTCACAAATGAAAAAAGTGGCATGCAGCAATATTACTGAAATAACCAGTGCCAAGCCTTACTTGTCGAGAAGGAACTGCTTGCTTTCCTGCTCCAGCGGTCTCCCTTGAAAGCCAGCACATAAACTGTATATCTCACCCCTTTTCCCAGTCCTTCCAACATGAACCTTTGGTCGTCAGGACCCAACTGCACTTCCTGCCAAACAAAGAACAGACAGGACAGCTCCACATGCTGCTTTAGCTCTCTCAGGCCATGTTGCTTCCCTGTTCTCTAGGCACTTTTAACTTCTCTTTTAGAAGTAAGCCTGATACAGGCAAAAAAAATACTGGTCAGAGGTAGGACATTATCACAGGGCTGTCTGCATATCTGCAGGCAGGCCAGCAGTTCCCTGTCCCTGGAAGAAGAATTTGAAGAAATGCTGAGCTTGCCCATTATACACCTTAGTACTACTCTAGGGACAGCAGGGAATAGGCTTCATGCACTTACCTGAATGAGATACCCCATGATCAAACTGCCCTTGGCCACATAGAACGATGTAAGAAATGAAAACCTGAAAGCACACCACTGTCCCCAATTTGAATGGGAATGTTCCATCTGTATAAAAGATGCATCTCCCCACACTTTACCCCCCAAGGGCAATTGCAATGGTATACGCCATTCAGTGAGACACCAGAAGGAGTAGTTAAGATGGAATATCCAATTCCTAATGACCCCTCTCCCCCAGTTAAATTCTAAGGTAGTGCACATGATTTCACTAATGGGAACTGACCGACTAAGCCCACTTGCCAGTTTGTGCTTTGAATTGGGGAAGTTTGTAACATGCAGGATTAAAAAGTTCCCATAACCTTGCTGGTGCCGTCTACACCCTGATAGGTCAGAGTGTAGCCATCGATTTGTGCAGTTGGTGGTGTCCAATTCACTATGCTGGTAGACTGTGTAACATCCGACACCCGGAGGTTCTTTGGAGGGTCAATTTCTATATGCAAACAAAAAAAGAATAAAAAACATGCCTTTATTATGCAAGTACCTTCAAGGAGAAGCAGTGCATAGACTGAACTTTCAGCACAGACCCTAGGGGTAAGGAAACTCTTAACTCCGGGTACTGTTAACACGGTGCAAGTAACCTATGGAAGGTAGATCCAGGGTTAACAGAGAAGACTGTGTGAAGTACAGTAAAAGAGTGAAGGGGGTTCAGAACTGGGATATTAAAGTCTGATACGGATCAGGTTTTAGATGTACTGGCAGCAGAGTTGCAACTGGAAAAGCACAAAGTATTGCCCCTCAAAGAAATAATAAATTAGCTCAGCAATAAACAGTGCCTTAGAGTGAGCATAGAGCACTAAGTTGCACTGGCAGAGCTGCCAGGACTAGAATGTTATGGTGTCCTGGTGGCCTGAATCTGGATGTCACAACAAAACTGTGTTAGAGAGGTGTACAATGCATTTGCCTTCCCCCTGTGTCCACATCAAGCTGATCTTCAGGTAGGGCTGCCAGTCCACACTTCTATAACCACTGAAGTTCTTCAGTATAAACCCTTCCCTCCTCCCTTTTGAAGAACAAGCCACACTGAAAACAAGCATGTGTACTTCTGCCTGCTAAAGATAGAGGTGTCAAGAGAACTAGATGGAAGGATACAAATTAAGCTGGTTCATCTCTTTCTTCACAAGTAAACACTACAAAGCACTTGGGGTTCTGTTCTCCATCCATGAAACATAGCAGGTTTTACATTTACCCACAGAACTCTCTACCAACAAATCTCTAGGTATGAGAGCATGCATGGGCAGATCTAGGATTTTGAAAAGGAGCATGCACATGGTAAGGTGCATCATCACACATTTTTCTCCAGGTAAAGAGAAACTAGAGGCTTTACTAATATGCTAGGGCCTAGAGCTGTATTATTCATCTTAAGATTGATGCAAAAACAAAAATAACTTTATTGGAAAGAGTTAAAAACAGGCTGTTGGACTATGACATAGGAGCTACATTACCAGAAGCAGCAAAATTGCAGAATAAAAACTTATCTTAGTGGAACACCTCAAAACCATTAAAAAGGAGAAAGGATCATTAACACCTGTGGGATGAAGAGTTTAGAAGAAATCAGGTAGACTTTAATAAGCCATGAAGTCAATTGACTCCCTCACTGTTGCCTGAATGGAAGTCCTGCTGCCACTGCCAGGCAGTTGGTTTTAAACTTTGGGTGGAGCAGAAATCAAAGGGGAGTGCGAGTGCACCAGTCCTCCTGGATCTGCCCCTGGGAGCATGGGTCCCTTCAAAGGCATTAAAATAAAACATTTTGCTATGCGCTTGTTCACCTTAGCAATATACAAGTGCAAACTAATCCACATCTCTGTTGTTCTGGTCTTTTTGGTAGGGTGGGTGTGACTGAAACCAAGTGAGAAGATTGCCTCTTGCAGGGACAACACAGGCCCACCTACACATACAGATTTGCTGTAGCTTTGTTTTCTAAACATGATATATGAAATTAAACATGAAGACCAGGGCAGCTTTATTTTTAACTAATAGCACTTCATGGCAATCATGAACCATAGAAAGTTATGGTTGGAAGGGACCTTAGCAGGTCATCTAGTCAAAGCAGGAACATCCCCAGCTGGATCATCCCAACCAACTAGCCAGGTTTTGAAAACCTCCAAGGATAGAGTTTCCACAACCTCTCTGGGTAACCTGTTCCAGTGTTTTATTACCCCCACAGTGAGAAAATTCTTCCTAATATCTAACCTAAACTTCCCTTATCTAACCTAAACTTCCCTTGTTGCAACTTGAGACTTGCTTCTTGTTCTGTCATCTGCCACCACTGAGAATAGTCCAGCTCCATCCTCTTTTGAACCCCCCTTAGGGTAGTTGAAGGCTGCTATTAAATCCCCTCTCAGTCTCTTTCTAGACTAAATATGACCAGTTCCCTCAGTCTTTCCTCGTAAGTCATGTCCCTTAGGCACCAGAAGTATTGTCTGGCATTATTCTCTACTGGGCATAGAGATGTGGTATCATTAGAGCACAACAATTTATGAGGTTTGCTCCCTGGAAAGATGCTTTCCTAGTTTCTGACCAGAAATTTTGAAAGAACAGAAGTGAAAGCAGTCCCTGCAGACTCTATCTGCAGGTGCTTTGGAAACATTTAGTTAATCCCACAAAGATCTCCACCCAAGTTGTCTCACTTCCTCTATTCCTTCTTATTTCAACCTGAGGTATTTCATAGGAAAGGCTGATATTTATGGAACAGTGCTATCTAGCAACACAGGCAGCTATATGCACTTATGACACAGCACCTCCTAATTTCAGTTCCCTGTTCTTCCAGAGCAGTTTCAATTCCCTGCTCTGCCAGAGTTCCTGTGTGAGGTTTGTTACATCACCTAGCCCCTCTGTGCCTTGGTTCCCCCCAAAATCAGACAGGTGTTCTGAGTACAAGCACAATAGAGACTGAGGTCCTCAGAGACTATTGTAATAGGGTGCCATGTAAGGAGGTAGGTAAAATTAGGACAACAGTAGTAGCCTGCACCCAGAGTTAAGAGCCAGTAGCACCTGAATTCTTTGTATGTAAAGTTTTTCTTTTATAAAATAGATAAGTAAATCTACATAGGTTAAGACACCTTTAAAAGGAGAAAGAGACAGGAGCAGAGACATTAGATTATACTTAGAAAGCCATTATTAACTATAAGACACCAGATATTCATTTTAATTAAAATATCTAACCTTGGGAATTCAGTGAATAAGGAGAGGCCCATCCCATTATATATAAAAGCAGAAATCCTGCCAGATTAGAACAGTGGAAGTTTATTCCCCCTCCCCATCTTGGGCAGCAGAGGGAGATCAAAATATTGGATTCACAGGGCAGAGAGAGAAATTAGCAGTGTTGTACTCCCATGATGCTACAGCTAGCATCTGTAGCGCTGTTCCCTTGGAATGCACAGCAAAATGTCCATTATCTTAGGAGACTCTTACAACTTGGATGCCAACAGAATTGCCTCTGGTCTAAACACTTCCATTTTGGGATCTCTACTACATGTCTCCTATTTTAATGATAGGAAAGGATAAGGAAAATCAGAGGGTATAAGTTGACTTGAATAAGATTTTCACAGTATTAATAGAGTCAGTTGAAAAATGTCTTGCTATTTCCTTAACACTGAAATGTTTCTCAGGAAGTGTGAATTTTGATATAAAGTTTGATCTAGAAAAAAAAATTAAATATTTCAATTTTCACCTTAAATGACTGCACTTGGAAAAGCTTGTGGTTTTTAAATCTAACTTGGAACAAAATGTTCAGATCCCAAAACAGTCATGAATTTCTTTCAAAGGATATTTCAGGGATTCTCATTATAATTTGAGGAGGGGGAGGGGAATCAAAATTTGAAATGCTGGAATTCCCTGCATAAAAATTCTGTATTCTTATTATAGCTAAGTGTCACCTGAGACCCTCTGTCTCAGAGCTTAGCTCATCTAACTTTGCTTTTGATAGTTCCAGGAGTGCTGGAGAGCATTTTGACTCCAAAGCATATGTCTCAGCTCAGGGCTGCTTTGCTTTCCAACTACACTCATTTGTATTAGGACTCAGGGGTTATACAAGATGGGATCACTGAAGTGCAGAATGTTCTCCAGCATCCCAATGTGTCTTTAGGCTGGATGCCTGAGTAAGGCAGCTGAAGTTTGGTTTCCACTTCTCTAGAAGCATGAAGTCCCCTTATGTTGGATGATTACTTCCTCTGATGAAATAAAAGGGGCCTAAGCTCCTGGTAGTGCTGTACCTTGTACATTCATTTACACCACTGCAAAGGTGTTAAATTCTACTGGGTCAGAAAAGCAACAGAGTAATCTACAGGCCCATTAGAGAGCTAATTCATTATCACTTAGATCTGTTCCATCTTCCATACTTAGCAGTCCATAACAACCCAGTAATTACGGCCACTAGACTTCCATTTGCCATATATTAATTGGCAAATTTACTGCCACATGGGAATACAAAAATAAATAAATAATACTGAAATATGAAATAATGAAAGAATAAAAGTATTTCTATCTTGCTTCCCTCCTGCCCCAGGATACCTGTCAATGCTTTAGTGTTTGCCTTCTTGCTTTGCTGGGCTCCCTTCTCAGCCCAGATGTAGATGATGTACTCCATGCCTGGCCTCAGTCCGGTCAGAGTGGTGACACTCTTGTCCTTCCCCACTGCCATCTCCTTCGCATCCTCATCAGGTAAGGTGTACCTCACCATGTACCTGTCTATGGGAGCCTGGACTCCCTGCCAAGAGATGGTGGCTGTGTCCTCTGTCACTCGGTCAGTCACCAGATTAATTGGGCTGTCAATTTCTATGAAGAAAAGTGCAGATTACTGGAATATTATGAACATACTCAGAAGCATCTCGTTGAATCTTTGGTTACTATCGCTTATTTTCATACTCTGAAGAGATGAGGAACCATATAAGGATTAACCTACTTCTGTGTTCTAGTATTCATGTCTCAGTGTCTAAATACTCATCTAGCTACTGACATTTCAAGATGTGAATAACTGGCTGGATGAAGGTCATGGCTGAGGAGCACCGACAGAACTGACTTGGCCATAGCAGAGTAAGAAATGTTGCAGGTTGAATGGAAAGGCTGAATTCTCTAGAAGGGCAGGACTGTTTTTGTTTTTGGGGGAAGACTCAACTCAAATCTGAGCTGTGTAAGGACTAAGGACTGCAATAGCAGAGGAGCTGCAAGTCAGAAGTGAGATTCATTAGTAGATCTGTCAGGGAAAGGGGCAGGACTGCTGTAACAGGAGGTGCTACTAGCAGAAGCTAAGACATGACACATTGACAGATGTGGGGAGACAGCAAGCACAGCATTTATTCAGGGAAGCTCTTATTCATGGCAACTCATTTACCCTGCCACAAAAGCATAAGTTACTTGTCTCCGCACCCCACGCTGGCATAAGTTACTTAGAGGATGGATCTTTGGGAGAGGATGGATCTTTCTCCCAAACAAAACTATGCTGCAACAACTCTTACGTAATATACTCTGACTTTCAAAGTGAAGGGAAAGACACATTCACAGCTAATACACCATATTGCAACAGCAGTATTACATCTGCTACTATAGTATCAGGTCTGAAAAATTCCCCTGAGTTACCTGTCACAGCTCTAGTGTCTGCCCTCTTGCTCTGCTGGGTTCCCTTCTCAGCCCAGATGTAGATGATGTACTCCACACCTGGCTTCAGGCCGGTAAGGGTGGTGATGCTCCTGTCCTTCCCCACTGCCATCTCTCTGGTGTCTCCATCAGGAGAGGTGTAGCTCACCATGTATCTGTCTATGGGAGCCTGGACCTGCTTCCACGAGATGGTGACTGTGTCCTCTGTCACTTGATGAGTCACCAGATTGGTTGGGCCATCAATTTCTGTGAAGGAAAGTACAGATTATGAAGATTCCCAATCACCCCCTTGAAGGTTTTGGTTTCTATGCCTTATTTCCAAACTCTTAGTGGGGAAGGACCATAAATCAATTAGCCTACTTATAGATCCATGTCTCAGTGATGAAACAGCAGTAGCCAGAATGCTGTTTAAGGGCTATAATAGTGGTCTGGATGAAGGAGAGATCTGAGGAGCCCTCACAAAGTGATCTTGGAGCAGAGGCGTTAGCCATGGAAACAAGAGATGCTGCAAATGAAGGGGAAAGTTTGACTTTCTTGAAAGGCCAAGACTAGGTTTTTTCTGTGGGAGGTAGGGGTTTCAATTAAAATCTTAGCTGTGTAAGGACTATGGAGCAGAAGAGCAGAGGTGTTGCAGTTCAGGGATGAGATCCATTAGTAGATCTGTGAGGGAAAGGGACAGGATTGCAGTAATAGGAGGTGTTAGTAGCAACGGTAAAACACATTGACAGATGTGTGAGGGAAGGCATGCACAGAATTTACTGATGCTGCATTTTACTTGTGGCAATTCATTTACCTCATAACAAGCAACTGTTTCTGAGGGCCTCCAAACACCTACATGTTCTTCAGAACACGGCTCTATGGCAACAGGTCCTATGTGATATGCTCTACATTACAAGCTAGGAGAAGGAGGTTGGTCACATTCTCAGCCAAAGCACCATGTGGCCTCCATCTACAGTTGTAGCACTGTGTCCCCAAATTCCCCCCAAGTTACCTGTCAGTACTTCAGTGCTTGCCCTCTTGCTCTGTTGAGTTCCCTTCTCAGCCCAGATATAGATGATATACTCCATGCCTGGCCTCAGTCCCGTCAGGGTGATGCTCCTATCCTTCCCCACTGCCATCTCTCTGGTGTCCCCATCAAGAGAGGTGTAGCTCACCATATATCTGTCTATGGGTGCCTGAACACCCGTCCAGGAGATAGTGGCTGTGTTCTCTGTCACTCGGTCAGCTACTAGATTAGTTGGGCTGTCAATTTCTGTGAAACAAAAAAATGCAAACATTAAAACATTATGAAGATTCCCAAGTGTTACAGGGCACTAAGGTGCCTGCTCCTATAAAAGCAGGAACTGTTGAGGGAGAGGGTCTAAGAGCCAGGCAGAAGCCCACAGGTGCAGGTTACTGTGGCAACAGGCTAAAAAGTAAATTAGCCTGCACCTGCACCCAGTCAGCTGACCGGGAGAGGCAGGCCCTGGGCAAATATAAACCCCAGGGCTGGGAGTAGGAAGGGGGTTCTCTGTCAGCAGCCGAGAGGGAAGGAGCTCTCAGAGAAGCAGCTCACGAGAGAGGCTTGGCTGCTTGTTCTACCTGGGGTAGGATTAAGGGGCTCCAGGACTTCACCCAAGACTCTGGCTTACAAGGCACTTAGTGCTGGGAGAAACTGGAGGTTTTAAAGGAACAGAGCACACCCGGAACCGCTTATATTGGTTATAGCCCAGGGGCTCAGATTTTAGTTGCTGTTTGACCGGTGGATTGGGCTAAGGCTATTGGGGAAGGAGGAGGCCTCATTGGGGGCCCACGACAGTGTGGGGACCCCAGCGCCAGAGAAGGGTGCAGCAATCAGAGGGTGAGAAGACCCCAGCGCCAGTGTGCGGCATGGAGACAGGGCCGCGGAGAGCCCAGCGAGGGGCTGAGTTATAACAAGGCCCAGGAGAGACAACGTCAATACCATCTGCAAGGCTTGGGGCATGCTAAAGGGGCGGTTTGGAGCCACGCATCTAGCCCATAAGGCTAAGGGTGTCCCATGAATCATCCATTTTAAAGCGGGATGCCAAGGGGTCTAAGAACCCACAGGGTTCAGAGGGGTCCAGCAAGACCATGTCCAGGCAATAAGATCAAGGGTAGCCTCTCTATATTAAAAGTACTAGCAAGATGTGGTGGGTGAGAAAGAGGGTGCCTGTTGGGCAAGATTGGCACAGTCAAGGAGCCCTAGGAGTATCATGGCCATCCCTGGGGACCCCATTCTGTGACACCAAGCATCTCCTTAAAGCTTCTAGTCTCAACACTTTATTTTTGCTATTCCTAGGAGGTGACAGACCATATATTTGTTGACCTACTCATACATCCCTGTCTCAGTGCCTAAACATGAATCTTACTACTGGTGTTTCAGGACAGGAATAGTAGGATAGATGAAAGACAGGGCTGAGGAGCACTAGCAGAACTTCCCTGGCTAGAAGCCTCAGTGGTGGAACAGCAAGGGATGCTCCTGGTAAAATAGTAAGGTCAGAAATGGATTTTTTTTCTGGGTTAGTGGTTTCAACTCAAAATCTAAGCTGTGTAAGAACTAAGGGCCAGAACAGGAGAAATGCTGTAGTTCATGAAAGGAATCCATTAGCAGATCTGTCAGAGAAAGTGGCAGTACTGATATAACAGGTGGTGCAACTAGCTACAATTAAAATATGTTAATAGATGTGTAAGTAACAGCACTTACAGCATTTATTCATGCTGTATCTTATGCATGGCAATTCATTCACCCTCTCACAATAGCAGCTGTTTCTCGGAGCCTTAAGGTGCCTAAGGGGCATACATTTCTTCAAAACAAGACTGTATTGCAATAAGTCATATATGACACTATGTAACAACTTGGTCATGGGGAGGGGAGACAAATACATAGCTAATGCACCACACGGAATCAACAATGCTCCATTTGCTACTGTGGTATCACGTCCCAGAGATTCCCCCAAGTTACCTGTCACAGCTCTAGTGTCTTCCCTCTTGCTCTGTTGGGTTCCTTTCTCAGCCCAGATGTAAATAATGTACTCCACACCTGGCCTCAGTCCAGTCAGAGTGGTGATGCTCTTGTCCTTCCCGACTGCCATCTCCCTTTTGTCTCCATCAGGAGAGGTGTAGCTCACCATGTATCTGTCTATTGGAGCCTGGACCTGCTTCCAAGAGATGGTGGCTGTGTCCTCTGTCACTTGATCGGTCACCAGGTTAGTTGGGCTGTCAATTTCTGTGACAGAAAGCAGATTATTAGAATATTATGAAGATTCCCAAGTAACTCCTTGGAGCTTTTGGTCTGTACACCTTATTTTCATGCTCCTTGGCTATGAAGCATCATATATGGGTTGATCTACTTTTATGTTCATGTCTCAGTGGCTAAACACCATTTCTCCTGCTTATTTCTATAAGCAAAAGCTTAGATTATGACAAATATGATTGACTGATGCTGAAGCTATTGCCATTCAGCAACTCCTTTTCCATGTTCAAAGCTTTCTTATGAGGCAGTGTGAGGTGGAGACGAAAATAGGCCTGCTTCTTTGCAAGTCCCATCATCCTAGCCTTGCTGAGTAAGCATCCTTTTCACTACAAGTGGTTCAGGACTTGGGTACATTGGAAGAATTTACAGAGGTTCTGGCCTGGAGTAGTAAAGTGTATCATGGGTCAGGATCAAGATGAATTTACAGAGCTGTGCCAACCAAGGAATACTAGGGAATTAGTACATCAGTTCCCAGATTTTCTAGGTACATGACTCAACTTCCGGTCAACTTGCATCCCAACTTCCAGAAAAGACTCTTACAAGAGAATTATATGAGGCTCACAACTGTGTTCATAAATGCTGTTGCCCTATTTGGAATTATGTTACTTAATTTGGGAACCACTAACATAAGCAAAATCTGTGACAGGTTGTCAGATCTCTGTGGGGGAAACTTGCACAAAACTGAGGTGCATCTTGGAACTGACAACACAACCTATTACAGAAAATCAGAATTAACTAAATACGACTGGAGCTAGGCTCTAAATATCAAACCTGAAGTTTATTGAAGCATGTAATGTGTCCATGTCATCTATGGTGGTAGATGATGGAACAAAAACAAAGCAAGTCTTCAGAAAAGGTTTATGATATGTCTTCTGTTAGTATTACATCACAAAGATCCTCCCCCAGGTTACCTGTCAGTGCCTTAGTGTCTGCCCTTTTGCTCTGCTGGGTTCCTTTCTCAGCCCAGATGTAGATGATGTACTCCATGCCTGGCCTCAGTCCCGTCAGGGTGGTAATACTCCTGTCATTCCCCACAGCCATCTCCCTGCTGTCTCCATCAGGAGAAGTGTAGCTCACCATGTATCTGTCTATGGGAGCCTGAACTGCCCTCCAGGAGATGGTGGCTGTGTCCTCTGTCACTGGATCAGTCACCAGGTTAGTTGGACTGTCAATTTCTTTAAGAGAAAGTTTAAACATGAAAAATCAAAATGTGTTGGAACGAGGTTCCTTTGCCTCAGGGAATCCATCAGTTTCTTTTATATTTTTTTACTCTGATTTCTGAACAAAGGTGGGTCTGTACCACAAAGTTTGACAATGCCTGAATCTGAAGTTTTAACTTAGGTACACCTTCATTCTTGACAGTCCTGGTGGTAGGCTACTAGGCTTTGCTTTTTAAAGCTAACAGTACAGCCACTCTCTGAACCAATACACAGGAAAAGCCACATGAAGCAAGGTACTATTGCCTTTTGGTCCCCTTCAGATCACATCCTCTGTGGCATACCTAAGCACCTTCTAATTTGGAAGCAGAAGTGAGAGAACCAAGGTTTCAGAGACTGGCTGGGGTCCTGCCACTGGGAGACTGCATGGATACCCTATGTTGTTATCTCATTATGTCCTTTCCTCCTTCAGCAAAGGTAATGGAATAGTTAGTATTACTGGTATTATCACAGGGATGACCTGAAGTTTAAAGGTTCAAGATTGTTTGCAACAGGTTAAAGAATCAGCATCATAAGATTACGATGGCAACCATAACTGTGGTGAGCAGTAGTGTAACTGGCAAGGGACGGGTGGTAACCCGGGCATAAGCCCTAGGTGCTTCCTTTGAAAATGGTGGGACGGGGCACAGCTAGTGGCTGGCCATGTTGCTGCCCCTGGCCACGCAGCAGCCAGCACTGCCCCATCTGCTGCCACTGCACAGGGCAGAGAGCTGCCCAGCTGTGCATCTGCTGGTGAGACAAATGCCTATCCATAACTAAGGTTTCCCAAGGAAAGAAAAGGAAGTCAAAAGGTTAGAGCACCAACTGGGCACCTAGGAAACCAGGTTTCAATATCCTACTCCAGCAAAGACTTCCCATGTGACCTTTAACAGATCACTTAGAGCCAGATCCTTTTCTACCTATCTGATGCCTATGTAGACCAAGTCATAAAAATGTGGTGAGAAGGAGGTGGACCCACCCACTTTTTTATTAGCAGATGTACTTACCTAAGTGCAATCTTATTCCACCCTCTCTGAGGGTCTGAAAAACTTAATACAAAAGGTAGGTAGATCTTCCTCCTCTTCCTCACTGTTCTTTTGTGACTTCATTTTAAAGCTAAGATAACAACGTGTTACAAAAGTATTAATGGATTTTCAGGGACCTGAGCAGTACAGGGACTCACACTTTGGCATCTAATTAATGGACTAGGAACTGTGTATCTCTGTCTCAGTCTCCCATTTAAGAATGGGGATATCTGCCCTACCTCACAGGAGTGTTATCAGAAAAAATACTTTAAAAGATTCTGGAGGTGCCCAATTGCTATAAAATAATGGGTGTCCTAAAAGTACTTAAGACAGACAGTTGGAAAGGCATTGTTTTCACAAATGGAGATTGCTCATTCGACCAGTAATTACAGTAGATCCTGTCAACAGTGAATTAGAACACAGTAATTTTTTTATGATGATACTGAACAGACTTCACTGCAAGAGGCATTAGGCAGCAAACAATTTGTTATACTGAGCCTCTCCTCAAAGTGAACCTGTGCTTTGACAAGAGACACTTCACTCAAAAAACAAACAAACAAACAAAAAAACAGGTAATTGTAAGCTTGTAACTGGATTGGGGCCCAGGGGCAGCCATGACCTCCCCCACCCCGGTGGCAACTCAGCTCCTGTGCTGCTTGGGCTCCTTCAGTACCCTTCCTTTTCCTCTTTCCTGACATGACTGATAAATTAATTAGGTTACAAAAAGGGAGGTTGCCCCAGGATCCCCAAATGAGCCCTCTTCTATTCCTGGTCCAGTAAGTACCTCCCAGACCCAGCTGATCTCAGTTTTACCCTCAATATTAAGTGAGGCCCTCCTGGCCCTATCCATGTTCCCAGGGAACCAGTTGCCTTAAGGCCTATTCATGTCCTCCTTCAACCCTTACAGCCATAGCCATGCCTCATAGATGTTACTTTAGATTGTCCACTGGGCCTGTGGTAGCCCCGCCTGTTAACCATCTAGCCCTTCTAGCCCAGGGGTCAGCAACCCCTGGCACGCATGCCGAGCATGGCACGCAAGGCCATTTTGCTTGGCACACCACCACCAGCCCAGTCTCTAAGCAGCTGTTGCCAGCCAAGGAGCCCAGGCTGCTCCCAGCAGGAAGCTGGGAGGCTGCAAGCCCTGCTGCAAGCAGACTGGGCTCCATGGGCTGGCTGCAGCCAGGAGGCTGTAAACAGCTGCTCCGGGCTCTGCCATGTCGGCACTTCGGCACCTTCCAAGGTAGACATTGTGGTTTTTTTGGCACGGCAGCCAAAAAACATTGCCTACCCCTGTTCTAGCCTGTCATATCCCTGGCCCTGACAAGACTCTCTTCTCCCCAGGCCCCAATCTGGCTTCCATCTCTCCTAGAGTTCAGCCCCCCTAGTCCTTTTAGCATGCCATGGACTTAGCCTTCTGCTCTCTGGGCCCCTGGCCCTTGCCATGCTGCTGTAGTCTTATCCAAGCCCTCAGCCTTCTGGGTCCCTAACTCCAGCCTGGGCTGCTTCTGCTCACATTCCAGTCAGCCCACTGGGCCCCTGTCTCTGGCAAGGCTCTCTCTTCTCTGGGTACCTGGCCCTAATCCCTTTCTAGGTTTGACCCTCCTGGTTCAAGCCTGCTCTGACCTTAGCCCTGCATTCCCTGGGCCCCTGGCCCTTGCACAGTGGCTGTAGCCCTCTCTCAGCCCCTGACCCTAGGCTGGACTATTTCCACCACCCCAGGCTTCTGCCCTTCTAGGTCTCTGACCCAAGCTGAGTTTCTTCCACTACCCCAGACTTCTGCTCTCAGGGTTTCTGACTCCAGGCTGGGCTGCTTCCACTAGCCTTGACCCTGCTAGCCTCAGCTTGTGCGAGACCACAGCCCTCTGGGCCTCCAACCCCAGGCTTAGCTGCCTGACCCTGGCTTTAGCTCTCCTAGACTTGGCCTAATGCAGCACACGCGTCTCGGCACCCCAAGTCCCCGACTGCAGGCTAGACTGCCTGCTACTGAGTGCTTGCAAGGCACCCCTCCATGGCCTCCAGCCCTCCCCTGATAGCCACATCCGGTCCTCCAGTATTGATAAGAATATAAACACAAGAAACTGGATATCTAACAAAAATCTCCCCACACTGGGGCTTAACTATCCTGCAAGTCATAAGTCCCCCTTTCACTTGAAGCTCAAGAGGACTGGTCAGTTCCTCTCCTGAAGCCAGCTAGCTCAGGACCTCCTCTCTCCTGCTGTCTGTAGGGCCAGACTGACCCTCCCTGCTCCTATTGCTGGGTTTACATACTCTGGAGCACTGCCTGTTCTGGTCAGGTGACCCTAATTAAGCATAGAGGATGCCCTTTGGGCTTAATGGGATGCCTGCTTGTTGCGGTGCAGCTAGCTCCTGCTCAGCTGTCTGCTGCAAATTTTCCTTGAAGTAACAGAAGCCCCTGGCTCCCTGTTACAAACCTGAACTCGCCACTTCATTCTTTTACCCCATTACCTGTCACAGCTGTAGTGTTCGTGCTCTTGCTCTGCTGGGTTCCTTTCTCAGCCCAGATGTAGATGGTGTACTCCACACCTGGCCTCAGTCCTGTCAGGGTGTGGACACTTCTGTCCTGCCCCACTGGCAGCTCCCTGGCATCACCATCAGGAGAGGTGTAGTTCACCATGTACCTGTCTATGGGAGCCCGGACTCCCTTCCAGGAGATGGTGGCTGTGTCCTCTGTTACTCGGTCAGTCACCAAGTTAGTTGGGCCGTCCATTTCTGTTAAGAGAAGGTTTAAAAGTGATAAGCTAAAAGATGCCCTAAAGGAGAACTCTGATAGTGGCTCTGACATTCAGAATCAAACCCCACATATCTTCTCCCTTGCTAACAGTTACCTGTCACAGCTTTAGTGCTTGTCCGCTTGCTTTGATGGGCTCCCTTCTCAGCCCAGATATAGATGATGTACTCCATGCCAGGTCTCAGTCCAGTCAGAGTGGTCATGCTCTTGTCTTTCCTGACTGCCACCTCCTTGCTGTCCCCATCAGCTGTGGTGTAGCTCACCATGTACCCGTCTATGGGAGCCTGGACCCCCTTCCAGGAAATGGTGGCTGTGTCCTCTGTCACTCGGTCAGTCACTAGGTTAGTTGGGCCATCTATTCCTGTAAAAACAAATTTGAAAGTACAGAGTTAAAAGTCTCAAGAGTGACATCCCAGACTAACCAGTTAGACAATTTGTTTATTTATTTCTTTTCCTTCAAATTATCCATACGGCACTTGCAGCAGGTCAGAATATTTTCCACTGTTTTCTATCTGACAAACATTAGCTCATACTTATCTGTTTTGAAGCAACGCAAGTTTCATTTGGCTACATCCTGGTCTGTGCACCCTGTGCGGGCCGAGAGCGGTCCAAGGCTTTCGGGGGCGCGCGGCAATTTGTGGCTGGGAGCCCGCAATGGTAGGGTGGGTACTTTTGCACGACGAACTAGAATTAGGCATGGACTCATAGCGGTTAATTAAAGATTGTTTTACTTACACCGTAGGTGGTCGCGGTGCAGGCAGGAAAAACTTTCTTGAGTTGCAGTTACAGACAAACACAAGTGGAGTTTGCTAGGCTCCACTGAAGACACGCGCACGGAGTTTGCTAGGCTCCGCAAAACAAACACGACAGAGCTCTGGATACCCTTGACGAGCGCGCAAAACCGTAGATACGTCTTAAGAATTTAACAAACGAGACGGGAAGAGGTTGGTGGTTGATCAGGCCGCCGAACTCCTCCGAGACGCACACAAAGTTTCTATTACTCTGCCGCGTGCTCAGAGTCCCCACGAGATGGTTGTGGAGTCCTCTACCACTTGGGCAGAAACTGCTCAAACCTCTTATACGACTAGCAAGCCAATCGCTAGCTGCCACGTGGGAATAATTTAGAAACAGCCAATAGTGGGAAACAAATTTACATACGGGTGGCGGGAACTCCTTTGCACCGGGGTTTTCTCTCTGCAGCTGACAATTGCACCGTGCAAAGAAAGCTCCATGTGTCGGGAAATAATTCTGCAGTGCCGAAGCGCACACATAATCATTGGGTCATGACACACCCAAGCCACCATTGAGACCATTCAGAATGCAGAAAGATTTAAGGATGCCATTAGTGAGTCAGTTAACTTCTGAGGCTGGATCAGACAGCTCAGAGTCCTTCTTTGATGAATCAGGCACATATAATGGCTCTTTAAAACTTTAACTTTTTTGTGGAAAGATTGGCACCCTTTGCATTAATAGCTATTTAGAATCCAGGGGACCAGTCCATATTAGATTGATACCATATAGAGAGAGGTGGAATGTGAGGATAATAATGATACTTAATTCAGTTCATCTTCAAATTACTGGTTAACAGCAATAAGTAATTTGTCCTCAAGATAGCATGCCTCGTAAGGCAAGTACTGTCATCCTCATTTGGTAAAGGACAACACTGAGCCAAAATGGCTAACTGGCTTGCCCAGGGACATGCATCAGAGTCATGAGTTCCCAGTGCCCACCTTTGTACTATTGCATTTACACTGTTACCTGACACAGGGCACCTTAAAAAAAAAATCAATATTGTTCAGTAGAGCCTTCTGGGCTAAGGACAGAAATGACACATAGACCACTATAAGTATTTGGAAACCAGTTAAAATCTGTAACACAACAGAAGCTCAATACACATAAACCGCTTTCAAAATGGCTGAAACTGGTTTAGGATAAACCTGGATGGATGGTAGTATCAGACTTAACTGATTTAAGTTAAATCGATTTATTGAACTTCTGTCCTAGATCCCCTCCAGATTCAAGCTGTCTACTCCAACAGAGCTAGAATGTGTTTTCTAGCACCCCCAGCTTCTGACCTGGGCATAGGCAGCAGAAGCGGGGGCTAATGGGGCTTAGCGCCCCCCCCCCCGCCCAAACGCAGGGCAGTGGTAAGGCCGCAAGGCAGCCTGGCCAAGGGCTTCTGGCAGCTGCAGCAGGGGTGAGGAGGGGCGAGGAGGGGCTGGGGCTGGTGGGGCATGGGACTGAGCCACAAGCAGCTTTTCCAGGAGGCACGCCTCCTGTTTCTATGCACACCCCGGGAGGCATGGGGGGGCATGTGCCCCCAGATCTTTGCAGGGTAGGGCAGGATGCTGCTGCGGGCTGGAGACAGGGTTATGCTGGGCTCTTCCTGGGGATGACTCAGAGCAGGGCAGGGTGGGCACAGGGGTCCCAGGGGCTCTGTCCCCTCCAG